CCAAGACTAAGCCAGCAATATATGAAAAACATATCAGATGTGTGCCAAGAGCGTATATTCCACAAAGAAAAGTTTGGGTTAACATTCAAATCAGTCAAAAAAAAAGACTCAAAAATCAGCCAATTTAATTCATCACATTAACAGAATAAAGGAAGAAATTATAAAAGCATGTCAATAGATGGAAAAAATTGATGAAGTGTTAACTCTCTTTCATGATAACAAAGAAAACACTCTGAGCAAACTATGAAATAGAAGGGGATTTCTTTAATCTTACTAATGGTATCTACAAAAAAAAATCTACAGTAAATATCATAATTAATGGTGAACTATTGAATGTTTCCTCGGTGAAAGATGAGAAATGAATGACAAAGGAGCTCATTATTACCAGCTCTAGTCAGTATTGTCCTATCAGTCAATGTGACAAGAAAAAGGAATCAACAGTGTAAATATAGAAAAGGTAAAAACAAAATTGTCATTATATATGTTAATTCCTCTTCCTACCTGCAAATTAAGGTTATAAGATTGCTTGGTGGATATAGACATTCAGTCCTCATAATATAAATGGCTGTTTCATACACTGGGTACCTAAAGAGACTTCTCAGACAAGGCAAGAGGCTAGAAAAAGCTGCTTCACAAACTGACTTAAAAAAAAAATCTCCCTTTCAAACCTGCTTTAAGTTGAGATGGTGGCTTGAGACAGGGAGTTTGGCCTTTTGCAGCCAAAGACAAAGATGTAGTGGATGAGGAGATGTGAGCTTAGCATTGTATGGTGAACACTGCCAACATTTTCCCATAGAAATATGTTTGCCTAGTGGCTAAATTCTGTAGGATTCTATGTCCACTGCTGGTGAAGTAGTCTGTCAAAACAGCCTAAGGAGGGGCGCCTGGGTGGCTTAGTCGGTTAAGCGTCTGACTTTCGCTTAGGTCATCATCTCGCGGTTCGTGGGTTCGAGCCCTGCGTCGGGCTCAGTGCTCACTGCCAGCTCAGAGCCTAGAGCCTGTTTCGGAGTCTGTGTCTCCCTCTCTCTCTGCCCCCCCCCTGCTCACGCTGTCTCTCTCTCTCTCTCTCTCTCCTAGAAATTAAAAAAAAAAAAAAAAAGCCTAAGGAGCTTGTACAACCTGTGTCACCTTCCCCCATGGGGATCTGAATTCTTAGTTAAAATGGGGAGAAGCAGGGGTGCCTGGGTGGCTCAGTCAGTTAAGCTTCTGACTTCTGCTCAGGTCACAATCTCGATCTCGTGATTTGTGTTTTCAAGCTCCTCATTGGGTCTGTGCTGACAGCTTGGAGCCTGGAGCCTGCTTCAGATTCTGTGTGTGTGTCTCTCTCTGCTTCTTCCCTGCTCATTCTCTCTCTCTCTCTCTCTCTCTCTCTCTCTTTCTACTTCTCTCAAAAATAAATAAACCCTAGAAAAAAAATTTTAATGGGGAGAGGAAAAGAGGAGACATTAAAATTCTTGGCATATTATTTCTACTTTGAGACTTTCTTATAATTCAAAGAGTAGAAAGTTACCCTTTGAAGAAATGGAAAGACAAACTTGTTTAAATAGCCAAGGGACTAACTCCTCATTTGAAATTTTATCTCTGTGTCTCTGCTCCTCTGAGTAGATCAATATTAATATTAAAAGAATCTTTAGAATCTCTGTCAGGAATTTACCTTTGTAATACTTGGTAACAACATTTAACTTTTTACCTGACTGGCTTGACGCTGGCTTCATTATTGCCTCACTGGTATAGAAACACACACACACACACTGTATGTGTACAGTATTGTACGTATGAAATAGTCATGGAGGGGTGCCTGGGTAGCTTGGTTGGTTAAGTGTCCAACTCTTGGGTTCAGCTCAGGTCATGATTCTCCTGTTTGTGGGATCGAGTCTTGCATTGAGCTCTGCACTGGCAGCATGGAGCCTGCTTATTCTCTCTCTCTCCCTCTCTCTGCTCCTGCCCTACTCACACTATATCTGTCTCTCTCAAAACAAATAAACTTAAAAAAAAAAAGAAAATAGTCATGGATTGTCAAACCCTTATAGCAACTTTGGGTCCAGTCTAATTACTGGACCTGCTGCTGAAGCCAGAGAACTGAAAAGCACAGCTACTTGCCATGAGCGATCTGGCCCTAAATGACCACCATGATCTGCCCATACCAAGTTATGCCGCTCTCCTCTGCCCAGCAGGTACATGTGTAACAACTTTGTAAGGTAAGTAATATTATTAACCCCATTTTACACATGGAGGAGCTAAGTCATGCAGAGGTTAAACAATTTTCCCCAGGTCACATAGCTGGCAAGTGCTGTTGAGCCAGAATTCAACCCCTGGCCATGTATCCCAGAGTCTATACCCTCAGTCTCTATGCCGCACTACCTTCTAGGATTATTTTAATTAAAGAAAAAAAATTCTCCACATATTAAAAACAAAGGACAAAACAAACAAACAAAAGCTGTTCTGTTTGTGGAAAGGGATCTCAGCCCTGAAGTCCCAGTCTCTTACTTTAGTGAGGCATATGAGAACACAAGTGTGCAGAGGTAAAAATTTTAGTTTGAAAGAGATCTTTCAATTACTCAGCAGTATAAGCATTGAAAGGGCTAAGAAACACTAGCCTGTGGGATGATTTTATATAGCATAAGCATTTCAAGTATTTTTCTCTTTAAAAGTTATGATGTTTCTTTAATTCATCTTTTTGTTGCTAGTTCTTTCATAGCAAAAGAAAATCTAATTCTGGTAGGGGATTTTATAGTAACAAGCTGAAACTTGAAGTTTCTGGACCTTAGGATCTCCTACCCCATTAAAATATTTAATGAACCAAAGCACTTCTATGTTACTGCTTTAGAGCAATGTACTACTATCCTTGGAGGAGCAAAAAGGTAACTAACTAAGATTGGGAAAGTTATTTTTTTTTCTGTGTAAATATATTTTGGCTTTGAAAGTATAACTTTTAATCAAGACTGTGCTTTCCTGAAATTGATTTTTTTTTTTAAGTTTATTTATTTTGAGAGAGACAGAGATAGTGTGAGTGCAGGAGGGGCAGAGGGAGGGGCAGACAAAGAATCCCAAGCACAGAGACAGCACAGAGCCTGACTCAGGGCTTGAACCCGTTAGCCAGGAGATCATGAGCCGAAATCAAGAGTCAGATGCTTAACTGACTGAGCCACCCAGATACCCCGCACTGCCTGTTTTTAAAATAAAATTTTATTTGATCATAACTATACCCTTATACCTATTATTCATATTTTGTCTAAGACTATCTTCACACTACAAAGCAGAGTTGAATAGTTGCAACAGGTAGCATATAGCCTGCAAAGTCCTAATATTTTCTATTAGGACTTTCTATTTCTGGCTGTTTAAGGAAATGCTTGCAGGGGTGCCTGGGTAGTTCAGTCATTTAAGTGTCCGACTCTTGGTTTTGGCCCAGTCATGATCTCATGATTTGTGAGTTCAAGCCCTGTATTGGGCTCTGTGCTGACAGCGCAGAGCCTGCTTGGGATTCTCTCTCTCTCTGCCTCTCTTCCACTGGTGCACACATGCACGTACTCTCCATCTCTGTCAAAATAAATAAACTTAAAAAAAAAAAAACGGTTTGCAGACACGATCAAGAGAATTGACAGACAGGAGCTGATGGTGGATTAGTTCTATATTCAGAGAAAACAGTATGTTTGCTCAATTCAGGGAGAACAGAAGTTGAGCAGGAAAGGAATAGTAGCCTTGATTTACTACATGGCTTAACTTTGAATATATGTATCTGGTTATAACAATGTAAACATCTAATACTGTGCTAATTAAAATTACCACGCAGCTGCATTGGGAAGACAAGAGGGATGTGAATGTGTGGTGGGAAAAGGAAGAAGGAACTTGATCCTCATCTTCTGTAGGGAAGGTCAGTAGATAGGCCCTCAAACTGAAGAAACATGGCAATAAATATCAAGATAATTGGTTAAAAGAGATAAAAATTGATTCCTTTGTAGAGAGAGAAATAAAGAGCAGAGAGACAGGGACTGGTATTTTTCATACAAACAAACTTTTTGTAGGCTTTATAAACTGGGTACCTTTATACTTTTGATTTTAAAAAAAATAAAGAGGGGCGCCTGTGTGGCTCAGTTGGTTTACTGTCTTGAGTCTTGGTTTCAGCTCAGGTCAGCGTCCAGAGTCATGGGATCCAGCCCTGCGTGGGCCTGAGCGTGGAGCCTGCCTGAGATTCTCCACCCCCCTTCTCTGTCTCTCCCTGCCTCTCCCTCTTCCCTACTTGTGTCTGCACACACACACTCTCTCTCAATAAATAAAATATTAAGGCATTTTTAAAAATGCCCGCCCCCCCCAAAAAACCTGCAAAACAAAAAAAGAAAACTTCAAAGTCAGCAAATACATAGTATTTACTGAGCTGCCCTTTTTGGTCCTTCCATCCCAAGGATATAGATCACTCATCATCCCAGCCTGTCTCCTGTTGAGTTGGGACACCTTCACAGAATTGTCACATCTGTGTTCCAGTAGGAGGTGGCCCTGCTCAGGACACCAATATCTCTGATTAAATTAATGAAAAGGCGCCAATTTAGGCAGATTCTGTCTAGTTCACAGACATTTCCTCCAAAAGTACATGGCTAAGATGCATTATCCAGCCTAGCATCCGACTGCTCTAAATGTGTTCAAAAGTAGCTGTATTGGAAAACTTCATCTGCTCTGAATACCATTTCTTCTTAAGCCCACAAACAGAGGAAGACACATACTTCTCAATAATTATTTGTAGATACTGGATAATTTACTAATATTCTTTCATCTTCTGGTGCTGGACCTAACATAAAACAGGCTAGTAAATGAATGAATGAATAAATAAACTCTGCTGTATAATCAACATTTTTTTTAAAACCAGGATGACCTGAGAAACGCAGAAACAAAGGCCGTTTCATAACTTTGTGCAGTGTTTCAGTGACCAAAGCTAAGTTGTGTTCCTGAATGATTTTGATTTCTGAATTAAAGTAGTTTTTGCTTTTTTTCCCCCTAACTCTTCATAGGATCTTTCCAATTAAAGATGTACCCCTGGAGACTGATGGCCTCTCTAATTGGCTCTATCAACGTTTTATTGAAAAAGAGGAACTTTTATCACATTTTTATGAAACAGGTACAGAGTATCCTATTACATAGGTTTCTGAAGTTAGTGGTGGTTCCAAAGATGTACTTTGGGGGGAGATAACCATTTTTCCATTTTTCAGATACCTTAAAGGAATCAAAGGATGTCTGGAGTTAAGAATTTCAGCATAGAATATTCATAAGGACAATGTTAGTGTTAAATTTATTCAGGCTTTTACTTACGCAGTATGCAAGATCAAACAATGAGTAAAATGTATAAATGGAACAAATGCAAGAAGGTACCAGTATTTGGAAAACTGCACATCCATATACAGTTACACAGCTGTCTGATGAAATAGCAAATAACATTTCTGATTTGGCATTGTGCTTACTTGATTGTTTAAATAATACCACCATCGTGCAGTTATTTGAGATCATTTTGAACGACATTTTTTGCATGCTTATTCTTTTCTTTACATACGAGGGATAAAACTTACTCTTTAAGTTTTCATGGGTACAACCTTATACTCTTCTCCTTGGGAGAAAAAAAGTCTATTTATCGTAAGGTCCCTTATCTATACTTACTATTTCCTACTTTCCGTGAAAACTACAATGCAGTGAAACAGACATAGAAAGGGAGGAGATGAGAGGGAGGAAGAAAGGAAGTTAGGAAAGAAGAAAATTAGAGTTAGTAGAATGCTAGGAATTACCAAAGTGCTTTCACAAATAACTAAGTATATTGTAGGCTTATTTTCTAGAACCTACAATATGAAAAAAAAAAAAAAAAAGAGGAAAAGAAGGTTGTGTTAGGTCTGACGATGGCTATGAGATTTTAGATTAACAGAAAGTGCTGTATTCTTCCCACTTAGATTTATTTAGTTCAGAATTAATGTTCCTCTTAAATCAGACCTTCAAAGGCCTGATAATGAACAAAGACTGATACTGATAATTACCTTTAATGCTTTTGTTTTTGTGTTTAGGATTTTTTTCACTTTACCCACAACAAGATTCCTTCCTGATCCTAACATTCTGACTCTGGGGCTGTGGACTAGTACACATTCTGTGACAGCAGTTGGATGCTGTGCATGTCTTTAGAATTCTTAGTAAGACTCATTGAACAAGATATCCCTTGTTGCACCATGTACAGTCCTTGGTCTTACTCTCAAAATGTCTTTAAAGATAAAACAGGATAGATGTGATGATAGATGATAGATAGATGAAGAAGACACAAGGTGATTAAGAGTTAAGAATATCTCTTCTTTTTCAATCTTCATGTCTTGCTTTATCATATTTAGCCAAAATTATAGCAACAATAATGAAAGTCTTTTTTTAAGAAAGCTATTTGTATAATAGACCTTGAAACTTGAAAGTGTTCTCTGTAAATTGCTTGTGAGAAGCAAATCCCCACATGAATCAGCTTACCCAAAGGGATTATCAGCAAGGACAAAGACTATTTGAAATGCTGAAGTGTTATCAAGATGACCTTAGGTAGTATTGCTCTGAAGTAGTCTAGCCTTCCCATCCAGAAAAGAATTTAAAGGCATCTGTTTGCTTTGTGTTTCTCTTTATATTATTAAATTTCATAAGTAATATTGCCTTTTGAAAATAATATAAGTGATTTGCCACCACCTTTTGCAAAAAACATTTAACTTGTAAATAGAGTAATTAGTGCAAGTTATGTTATTTCAGAAATTATTTAGTATCAATTTCACACATCCTGTGTCCTGGCCACTATGGAAATCTCTAGGGTTCCAGGGGAAACAAGGCAGCCAGAGTGCCTGCTCTCATGCAGTTTATACTCCAGAAGGAGACAGACAGTAAACAAGTCTGTAGCAAAAAGAAAAGATAGATCTGGATCATTAACAGATCATGGAAAGTGCCGAGAAGGAAATAAACATGGCAATGAGTGTGACGTCCTTAAGTGGTGGGGAAGTAGATGGATGATATTTTTTCAGATACTGGAAGAATGCAGTTAAACCTGCCATTCACTGAGATGAGAAGAAGCATCTCAGGCGGGAAGAATAAATGCAAATGTTCAGGAGCAGGAAAAGGGTCAGCAGTTTGTAAATTGTATTTCAACTGAGATCTCTCTTCAGGAACAAAGGGAAGTCACAGAAGATGCTTTAAAAAACACACAACAGAAATTCTAGTTAAACTAATATTCAACTTTTGTTCAGAAGACCTACCACCATAGTAAAACAAATTAATATTTCTGTCTTGTCTTTCAGGGGCTTTTCCACCTCCCAAGGGCCATAAGGAAGCTGTTTCCAAGGAGATGACCCTCAGCAATATGTGGATATTTCTCATACAGTCTTTTGCATTTTTGTCAGGCTATATGTGGTATAACATCATTCAGTATTTCTACCATTGCCTGTTTTAGGAATTGACTGGGACTTGTCAAGGTCACCATAGGAGTTCAGACTTTCATAAGCGTGCATTATTTTACATGTGCAAATCAGAATATAAAAAAAAAAAAGCAAAGGAAATTCAATGGATGGATTACTATTTATCCCCCTTTGGGATATTTTAAAACTCTACTAAAATGAGGATCAGTAATATAATGACCTGCTAATATGTTTTAAGGACTTTCCATGTTTTCAAAAGATACACTGTACCACACATTTAAGCCAACATCACATTCAGAGAAGAGGAAATCATAAAATCATCCTAGAAGACTATCTGAGAGAAACGCCGTTGCCACTAGATGTACTTGGTAATCTAGTTCAAGCTCAGAAAGTTGTATCCATTCCTCTTAGCTCGTAGCGTCTCTTAGGGCAGTGCTGTAGAGCCCCCTCATTTCCACCGGCCCTGGCCGTGTCCCTGGGAGCCCCGAGGCAGGGGTACCCTCTGAGGACCTGTTCCCCTGTGGTTTGCAGTGACACTCCAGTGTCAGTGTCAGGCCTGCTCATGGGGGGACAGCAGTGTCCACTGGACACATCCTGGTACTAGAATGTGTTTCTAAAAAAGGCTAGCTCAGTCCAATATCGTGTTTACATGTGCTAGTGCTTTCCCTTATATGAGGGGGGTCACTTGATTTCTCTTTTTGTATAGAAGGCATATCATAGATTGATAATTGTCTTTTACAAAATGCACTTTTATCAGATGCATATATAGCAAAGGATTAATAATATAGCCTGAAAACCAGCGTAAGCCTAGTCGGTAAGTGACGTTCTCGAGAGGCTGTGCTGTCTCCGCGTGTGTACCTGGGCGTGGAAGCCCTGCAGGCTGCCTGCTCTGAGCACCGCTGGTGTGAGGCTTCCGTTGAGCTCCGAGGCGTTTGTCTCCCATTTTGGCTTATTAGCACCAATGCTCGGGGACGGCTGAAACTAATGTAAGACATTTAAATGATCAGTTTGAGGTGGAACAGGGGTTGGATCAGAAAAACAGGAGCTAGAGCCAGATATGGGCTCAAAATGGTGACAAGCTCTTACATGGCACCCCTGAACCCGTTCTCCATTGTCACATCAGGTTGCTGCCGTGCCAGAGTGATGTGACCAGGATTCAGACCAGCACAAAAGGCTTCCCCTGTCTCTTCCCATTGTTTTTAAGAAGAATAAAGTCAAGTCTCTATTCCTAGAGAACATTTTTTCCCACTATGTTCATGTGATTTACCTCATAGTAGAACCAGACTCTTCCCACAAAGCACTGGGACCGCATCCACCCTTCCCCTGCACCCTCAGAGTTGAGACAGAGCGTGTGTTTGGGTTTGGGACTGTAGGACTTTTAAGATACTAGTAAGTCAGGGGTAGTTTTCTGAGATATGAGCAGTGTAGATTCCCCTGTTGTCGCTAATCGTACAAATGGCAATTTTGAGAAGTAGGCCAGAAAATAAAAATAGAGGCTCATGTTTTCTATTTTTAAATAAACCAAAAAAAGAAACTGAAAAGATATGAATTTTCTCCCAGTTATGTGGGAAAGCTAAAGCAACACCAAATAAAAGTCCACAGCAGCCTCGTCTTTAGGTTAATTCCGTGCATATATGAAAGAGAATAATGTGTTAATGAAATACCTCATTGCATATTATGCTACTACTGGTAAAATGCAGAAGATGGTGTTAATGCATTTGCTTTGGTAGTGGTTGTTATAAGATGCGATTTTTTTTTTTTGAAATCTAGACATTTTATTGTATGTTTTACAGTGACAGTGAGTTGAGTAGGTGAAATCAATCTCAATTAAGAGGCATGGATAATGATAGGAAGCCAAAGAGAAGCTTCTGTTTGAGGCCCAGCAAACACTGGTAGATTACAGGATGAATTGAAATTGTTCATTTGAGGGATTAGTCAGCCATCTGGGGGATAAGTTGCTCACTGTCAGATATGGCATACACAGTCCTAGCTAAATAGACCTTTTTCTCATTGCTAAAGCAAGCCACAGGTAGGAGTGGCCAATTCTCCTATCAAGAAAAAAAAAAGAGAGAGAGAGAGAGAAATGCATACAAGCATACATAGATGTGATTTAGAGCCACTATTGCCATCACTGTGGTCCAAAGGAACGTGATATTGTTAATATACTGTACACATTAAACCAACTATTCTATAAGACGCTTTAATTTTCAAGTGCAGAGTCATTTCAACAGTCTCTAGAGTGACAGATACCAATAGATACGTGAGTTCATTTTTGAAAATAGACCTGTGGGATGTAAATAGATGTGTAGTTGACCTGTGTATCCCTCTTTGATTGTTTATCAACGTGTTCTCTCTCTTCTGTTTGCAAAATACGTTCATTTGAGAGCATCGATAGTGCTTTCCTCACCAGTAACTGGAGTTCTGCTCGCACTAGGGAATGTGAAGAAAGAATCAGTATTCTTATATGGTGAATCAGGGAAGCAGCAATACGCCACTGTACAGAACTGGATAAAAATTCCTAATTTGTACTTTCTTTGCAAAGTGAGATGAAAGGCGGTTGAGAGACTGTACATTTTGTTAAGGGGAAAAAATAAAACTGTGCCAGTAGTTTGTAGAATCTCAGTACTTCTTGATCTCAGCTGATCTGCCTAGATTCCCACGTCAGAGAGGATTGAGAACTCCCTACCGGATCCTGGTCTCAGCAAGTCACAGCAGTGGAGCACCTGCTTGGCTATGACCACACCGGCAGTTCACTCTTAACTTCAGAAACTATTATTGGTGTTGAAATACACAGATACGATGGAGAAAGCTATGCACCAGTGGAAGGTAAAGGAAAATTATAGAATGGAAAATGATATCTTGGGGTGGGCAAACAAAGTAGTTGAGAATTTAAATAGACTTTTTTAAAGATAACTCTGAGTTCAGATCTGTCATAATATTAAGTAGTTTTTAATATTACAATCAACCATTAATTTCCCACTATAAAGTAACTAGGGATTACTGGATGATTAATCCAATAATATGTCATAGTTAGCCAAAAATCTAGTGTGTATTTATAAGTTTTCCCCCACCAAACTTTTTTTTCTTCTGGGGATGCTTCCTAATGAAAAAAAAATGATTTCAGTTGTTTATTAGTTTCTCTTGCTTATGTATTTATGACTGTGTTAATGAGTAGTGAAAAGATTTGGGAAGACAGACAGCTTCAAAAAGAGAGAACACAAAAGCCTAAATAATCCGTGGGCTAGAAAAGGAATCCCTGAATAATCAGGAGTTGGCGGTATTGCAATTATACTCAAGCCTTTTATGAGAATGAAATGTTAAATCACCCAGTGTAAACCTCACATCATCCTAGGGTTAATATCGTTTGGATTGATGTTAAGAACGGCTCTTCATTCTTTGCTTGTTATTCACTTGTGGATTTGTCTTTAGTAACGTTTTTGACAATCACTTCCCTAAAGACTCTTCTGAACTAGTGGGACCTGGTTATAATCATAGAAAGTAGTTTTTAATCATGGACAGTCTTATTGGATTCTTTTTATATTTAAGAAAATTTTATTTGCACTGCTGAATAGGAAGAGTTCACTATTTTCTTCAATACACAGGACTTCACTCCAGAGTTACCATTATGAGCAGGTCCCCTTGGGTCCACAAAGATGAATAAAAATGGTTAGTCTCATTTTTTGCCATGTAGTGCTGTGAACCTTAGGTCTGTGAATGTGAAAGGCAAAGTCAAAAGCAGGACTGGGCAGCAGGTATACTGGTTTATTTTATGAGGTGGTGGAGACTAATACATTTGGGACCAAAACCACCTAAATTGGACATTTCTAGATCACAGAGGGGCCAGTGTTCTCTGGAGCAGTCACTGGTTGGTGCTTTGTTGCAGTCATTTTGCATTGATCCTCAACAATTAGGAACTGGACCCTGGGAATAAGCTGAGGGTGCTGAACTGTTGGGGAGGGTGACTGTAGCCATATGGAAGAAAAATATGGGTTTTCTGCAAAATTTCCATTTGAGAATTTTTACATTTAATATTTTTTAGAACAGTTGAAAGTGAAAATTTTTTAAGTGTATTCTAGCTGCAAAGTATGCACACATATTTCAAATGGCTTTATTTTTATTGTGTAGAACTGTTGAACACATGACTGATGCACAAGTTCTTTACATGGGAGGAGTCTGCATTTTACAGTAACTTATCTCATGACTGGATAATGACACAGTGATACATTGACCTGCCATTGTTACATTAAGTGCTTTCATTTTCTTCACAGTTACTGCAAAGTTGTATTTATTTTATACAGATGGGTTTTAGTTTTCCTGATGCCATATGTTTACTTCAGCTTGTTGACTTGTTTTCCTTTCTTTGTGTATCTGCATGTTGTAATGAATGATAAGAATGAATGTAAAGGCTGTGGCAACTGTAATTAATTTTTGTAAAGGGCTGGTCACACATGGATCTGGGTTATGAATGCATATGGGATTATTTTAGTAACCAGATCACCTTTTCAGAAATTTAGATGTGAACACCAAAAGAAGCATTTTCTCAACAACAACAACAACAAAATGAATAGCTGGTTCTATTTTTTTTTAACCTAGAAAAAATAAAGTTGATTTTTTTCAAGTAAAGTGCTTTTACTTCTTAGTGGTGGGGATGGGGTGTTTGTGTGTTTCTGGAGATATTTTGGCATTAACATCTATGGACAGGTACTTAGAACACATCATGGCAGTTGGATGCTGAGGGCAAACCGAAAAACCAAATAAAAAAACATTGTACTTCCTTCTTTGGTTTTAACCTATTTCCTCTGTTCCTTCTCCATTCTCCCCCATGGTATGGTGGAGATACTGGTATATTGTTGGTGTCTTGGTTAACTGTTCACCAGTCTGCTCTCCTGGGGAAAAGAAAATGCTGTGTGCAAATGTACATAAGTTTGCTATAAATTTTCCCGATAGCAAGGACATATAACACAATTAACAGATAATAATAAAATATACTTTATTGTAAACTCCATATGGCCAAGTGATTCTCCCAGGATGCTTTAATTGATTTTGCTGAACTCTGGTAGCCAACCTATGACTTGAAAAATGGAATAACATCCTAATCCGCCTGCTTCTCAAATTTATTGTCACTCAATCTGGTATGTGATCTACTGTTAAACTATTTCTTACCCTTGTACAAATTTTACTCATTAGGTGAACCACCTTGAGCTCCAGCACCAATTATAAGCTTATATCATTTTAATAACAGCTGTTTAACAACTGCTGACAAAACACTAAAGTGGAATAGTTGGCTGTGGCATCAGGAGCCGTCAGGAACTGTCTCCAGGATACCACTGGCCTGTCTTTTCTGTTTGTGTAATTGTTAGTATTGAATAAACCTCTCACAGTTAAGCTACTCAGTGCTCTCAGGAAATTCCCATCACTGACCCCTGAAGGGTCTTTAAAAGGTGGGAAAGCATTAACATTAGTCCTACAGAGCATGCTTTTGATTGGAAGAATTTGACAAATGCAAACTTTTATCCTGAGGTGCATGGGAAACTTGATTTTTTTAAAGCTGGCTCTATGCTTTCAGGACTCAAAGTTTAAGTCAACTGATAGAAGTCTCTCTTAGATTTTGTTTTGAGCCTTTAAAACCTTTATTGTTCAGATATTTGTAGAATATGTTTGATCCCACTGAAAAAAATTTAAATGTATTAAAAATATCTTATACAATCTACCAAATAAGTTAAAATGTTATACAGTTCAGTCTACCTCTTCTTCTTCTATTTGGATTCAGGCTATTGTTTTGAGTTGAGGTTGCATTTTCCCCCCTAGAAGTTGATTCTGTCGAAGATGAAGAGCAAATTGGGGGCAGAAGACTGAAAGCAAATTTGAAGCACTCAGAGATTGCTGACCAGCCCTATTTCTCATGAGTTGGGGGCGGGGGGAAAGGGGAGCCATTGTTTTAAATTTCCACTTGATATGAAAATGTTTGTTTTTAAAATGTTTCTTCCTGCTGGAAAAAAAAATGTATTTTTAAAAGGAAAAAAATCCTCTTTCAGCTATAAGAAAAAGTCAGCTGTATGGGCAGGTGTGACCATATCATAACATGCTGATATATAAATCAATAAATTTTTACCTCTCAGGACTTGTATAACCTTGTTCTTAACTCCTAGAGGCATGAGAAACAAAAAGTATCAATAATCCAGATCACATATAGACAACACACACGGAAGGGAAGAGAGTTGGCTAGCCACTAGAAATGAGACTAGTTCTTTTCATAATCAGAAAAATAGTCTTAATTAGGTATAATCGAACACTTTTTACAAAGGAAGAGATTGGAACAATGTTTTTCTTTTTTCTTTTTGCTAGGCAACATGAGAGCATCACAAAGTTCATTTCTGAGTTTTCCCCTGGAAGGTTTCTGTTGTCTTTCCTCGGAGTACTTTCTGACTTTTAGGTGTGAGATTCACTCTAGAGATGGTGGTAAAACTCTCACCATTTACTTACCATGGCCAAAGAGAACCCTGGGCCGTCCTCATGAGTATAGCTGTTGTCTTCGTGGTGCCATTGAGAAATCATGGGGCTGAGAGCCCTCTCCAAATTATCAACTGCAGCATCTTCAGGCCTGTGTTTCATTATTGCTGCAAAACTTCCTGACAAGGGTCTTGTCTTCCGTCTTTCACCAGTTAACACTGTATCAGGATCAGGGCACCTAGAAGTGGAGAGATCAGAAGAGTTAGAGTACTAGGAAGAGGAATCCAGGAGAGATAGAAGACAGGGAGTCCAAAGGCTACTCTCTAAACAGGTACATACACCCCTGACCCATGAGGACCTCAGGGGGTACTCCAACATGGCGGTCTTTGGGAAATTCACTTCTGTGAGGACTCTGTCCTATGACTACATCCTCAGGGCTCACCTGTGGAGGGTCCCACCTGCCATTTCAGATACTCTGCACTCTTGGCAGAAGAAATGCCTGCCTCTGAGCCATTAGGCATCTCCAGGATACTGTTTTAAACAAAGAGACAATTCAAAATATTGGTGACAAGGAGCCTCTTTTAATCAAGGCATCTAGAGCCCACAATAGGGCTTTTATCTTTCCCTCGAATGTACACATTTCAGTTAGGACAAAGGATGGCATTGGAAATGAGGCATCTGGGCCTGTCTGTATTGGATGTATTGAACTCTGATATATTTAGTTTAGTGTGAGACAGTGAGAGCAATGGCACCTTGGGGCTCCAAAAAGCACAAAATGTAGAAGCCAACAAAGACTTCTTTTGGCTTAGACCCAGTACTGGCATAATGTCACTTTGGTTAAAGTGAATCACTGCCAATCCATTTTTTTAAATTACTTTTTTAATGTTTGTTTATATTTGAGAGAGAGAGAAAGCAGGAGAGAGAGACAAAGTACAAGCAGGAGAAGGGCATAGAGAGAGGGAGACACAGAATCTGAAGCAGGCTCCAGGCTCTGAGCTGTCAGCACAGAGCCTGACACAGGGCTCGAACTCCCGAGCCATGAAATCATGACCTGAGCCGAAGTTGGATGCCTAAACAACTGAGCCACCCAGGCGCCCCAAAGTGAGTCACAGGGCCAGTACAGATTCAATGTGAGAAGGTCTACAAAAGGGTCTAAATAAAAAAAGGTCTAAATGGCTCATTGAGAGCCATCTTTAAAGACCAGCTATCACAGGAAACAATTCTTCAGTTATTGGAATAAAGACCACTAGCTAGATCTAGAAGAATTCTCACACTTTAACAAGTTTGCCCATAATTTCAATAGTTGGAAGTTTTTGGGTTTTTTTTGAATTTCTGAATACTAAGAGGATTAGATATGTTCATCCATCACTCATTCATATAAATCACATTAATCAAAAGGATACATATCTAAAAGAATGGAGGTTTTGTTGGGGAGTGATCTTTATATTATTTTCAGCACTGACTGATGCATAACTCATTGGCCCTTAGCATTTCAGAGCTAACAGAAACTTTAGAACTCACCTTGTTTTGAAACGGCGGATTTTAGTCTATGGCCATACCACCCTGAACGCGCCCGATCTCGTCTGATCTCGAAAGCTAAGCAGGGTCAGGCCTGGTTAATACTTGGGTGGGAGATGGTAGATTTTATTCTGGTGCAACTTTGGTCCCTTGCTGGTAGCATCAAATGGCTACTTAACAGAATCACGGGGACTAAAACCAGGTCTCTTGATTTCCATTAAAATGTTTCCCCCCCAAAGAACAGATTGCCTCTGTTTGGGTTTTTGTTTTGAGTAAATAAGAGTTAAATCTAAAGGATTAAGTACACTTCTTAAAGGGGTGATAGATTTAACAGCTTCTGTAATTTCCTTTTCCTCAGTTTTAAACATAATAGTTCTCAAGTCCTAGATTATTTTTTATAACTGTTCCCTCAGCTGTTGCAGAGATACAATTAGCCACTAAAAAAGTATGAAATCCATGCTTTTTATCTTTTTGGAGGTGGAAATGAAATGCATTTTGTTTTTATCTCTGCCCTGTATAGTAGAAGATAAAGAGAATGCCTGACTGTAGACTGAAGTGGGGAGAAATTTCAATCTCATAACAGTACCTTTCATTTCTGAATTCCAGGTATGACACTGGCAGCAGGTAATACATTCAGTGCCTCTAGTGCCCAAGTGTCCCTCCATCATGGCAGCTGCTGGATTCCAGGGCCTGTCCAAGAGGAGCCCACAGAAGGACATCAACACCCAGGACTCAGCCCATGAACTTGAATCCCAGCCCCATTCATATATTTCTTATCCTCTAAACCTCACTCTCCTCACATGTTAAATGGGAAACTTTCAAAGAGGTCTTTTCAGTATTACATGAGATCTTTTCTGTGAAGCACATTGTATTGAATGCTCAGTAAAGGAGGCTGTTTTATCCCACCACAGTTGAGTTTAACAGAGTATGTAAATTATGTCTGGAGGCCACATGACCTGTTTGGTTCATAAGAGTTTTATCACTATCACATAGGCTGTAATAACACCATCCTGTTTTCCTGAGCCCTAGGTCATTTGGGTTTCCATGATAAACTGCAAGGCAGTCAGCATGACCAAGCTCCTAACCTCATATAGTCAGACTATACCTCATTATTTAAGGCTCCCGACAGCAACAAAGAGCTTTGAGGTCAGAGAGCCAATTAGGAAGGTAAAGAGAGTAAGACATAAAAAGGAAATAGGATCTGCCTGACAGAAGACATTACATAGTCTTCATAGAGACCTATTTTTGGTTCTGAGACATGATGTCACTTGTGGTGAAGACCTTGAACTAATTATCAAAAAGGAGGGAAATATAATTTCTAGTAGCTGGAAGCTATCCACCAGCCCATAGTTGCCTATGTATATTTCATATGATCCTAAAATATAAAAGCCTGCACTGAAGGCATCCTGACGATTCAGGAAGCCACAGTAATTTTGTAAATGTTTTCCTTTCTAGTTGCAGAAGACTCTGAAGTTTGTATCTTGATAATTGACATGTTATTCTCCAGTCGTAAATGGCACATGCCCAGTCCTTAGGAATTTGGGTACCACCAGGAAATGGGCAGATTAGAATCAGTACAGCTTATGGTTATTGAGGTATTATGGTAGACGACAGAGATTCCTCTAAGTGGAACTGGGATGGCAGGCATGGGTCTGAGGGCTACCTCTGCTGGGGGTGGGGTTGGCAGGTGATAAGAAGGTGATATTTCAAAGCCTGATCTTTCCCTAAGAGCCCAGTTGCCCATCAGGCTGTCCAGCCCACCAACTACAGAACTTCTTCAAGGTATCAACTCCAGGAAGTAGCAATTCTATGAGAGAGAAAGGATGATGCGCAAAGGTGTGATTACGGAAGAGGTCTCCTAAAGGAGACTTGGAAATACTTAGAAACCATCATCCGGTGAGAAGCTTGGCATAAACAGTGACTCATGGAGATGCATCTGTGCCTGCCCAGGCATGACAGGGCTCAGAGCAGTCCTAGGCTGGCCTATGCTGAAGGTAACCTGGCTTTGGTCTCCTAAAGGGTTACTTTAAAAGGCAAGGGATTGAATGAGTTAACGAATGTGGAATTTATGAAGCAGTTTCTCCTTGAGGGCAGAGAAGTGGAATAGTTGATTACTCAACCTTCAGACTCTGTTCCATGTAAGATCAGGCATAGTAACTGGAATAAATTAGAGTTATGTCTGAATGATGGGAAAACCTGGTGTGTCAGCAGGTGCACTGACTCAGACTGACTTACTCATTATGGGAAGAGGAAAGAAAGGAATGACAAGAGGGCTACCTTACGAGCCCCACTGGTAGTGACCCAACCACGGTGGTAGATTCTAACACAGAGAAACCAGTCCGGCAGAATGCCCCATGGGTTTCCCATTCAGAACGCATTCATTGTTGGGTCGGGGTGCTGAGGAGTGGGGGTGTTGGGTATAGAACATAGGTACAAAGAATCTGAAAACTACAGACAAGAAGGAAATGAACAGAAAAGACTTTTTTTTTTCAGAAGCTGGGGAAATAAGAAAGTGGTAAGTCTATTGAGCAAGTGAGAAGCAATAAGTGTATCTTTCCAGGAGCCCCTGTAACACAATGTCACAGACATCTGGTAGGACAGGTGTGTGCTAACTGGCATGTCCTTGTGGTGAGGCTTTCTCTACCTGGGCTACTCCTCCTGTGCCATCTGGTCAACCTTGGACTCTACCCGGAAGACGGCAAGCCAAGGACAGCCCTTCCTGCCCACTCAGGCCCCAGGTACTGGGGACCTCCACTCTCAGACGGTTCCTTGTCATACCCGTCCCTTCTAGTGGCTGCCCTCCAAATGGGAAGGCAGTGGTGAAATACTCTGGATCTCTTCATTCGATATATTTCCACAATCAGGGGTGGGACAAAACCACATGCTTCTAGAAGCTTCCATTTCTTTCCTTGTCTGGCACTTTTTAAAGTGTGTGTTCTACCTTGTGTGATTGACTCTGGCTGTTTGAGGTCATTGTGTTTTTGTTTTGTGTTTAAATTTCTGCGTTACTTCTTCGGGCAATAAGGGAAGGAGATTCTGTGATCCTGCTTTCTCCCTCTTTAAACAGAAGTTGAATACATTTAAAACAAGATTCAGTTTATCAAAAGGCTGTTTAGCTCATGCCATTCTCATGACTGTTATTCAAAGTGAAGCACATGTGATAAAAAGGTCTTACAATATATTACCTACAGCCCAAGGGAAAAATAATTTAGTACAAAGAATTAAGGTGTTCTTCTTTCTCTTTCAATAGGCTGACAGGCTTCCTAGATGAAGTGAGATTTCAATCGCTGATAGAAGGAAGGGGGAAAGCTGAGTGGGGGCATCAAGGGATGCTAATCTGGAAATTATCATTTCCTCAATTTTTCTTCCTTAGAAAATGCCTGTCACACAGAAGGTTGGTGAGAACCCAGTGAGATAATCCTTGTAAAAGGCTTTGGAGAGCTTTAAACACAGCACAAGAATGAGGAGCAGTTACAATCAGACTCAACAATGAAACGGATCCTTTCTTGTCGCTGAAAGAATTCACAAAGAAGCTGGGTGAGCCTGTGCCAGGGGTGGGTGGGAGAACCCAGCTCCGGGTAAGGGCTGGACCAGCTGGCCCCTCCAGCCTTCCCCACCATGAGCCATTGTCGGTCACAAGGACTCTGATAAAAGTTCCACTCTGCCTGCATCTTCTGCTGCCCTCAGAGGAGACGAGAAACCATGAACTCAGCTTGGCCAGAGAACAGGGTTTCCTTTGCTCTCATCACTCACAGAGACCTCTCCCCAAGATTTAAGCCACCAGGCAGCACCAGCTACATAATTTGTAGGACCCAGTGCAAAATGAAAATGCAGAGCCCCTGGTTCAGAGAGTTTAAGAATTTCAAGATGGCAACTGCAGAGCATTAAAACAGGTGCAGGTCACACATTTATGAAGTCGGTCCTGCCAAGAGGACCATCAAGGAGATGAGAAATGGGGAGGAGCCAGGCCCCTGGGGGTCCTCAGTGTCCCCTGTCTGTTCCTCCTCCCAAGGCATTGCACAAAGGCCTTTTATGGAAGAGGAGAGAAGAGTAGCAAACACAAATACCATTACTAGTGTGCCAGGCAATACTCTAAGCACTTCAGTACATACCTCATGTAACTAACCTTCACAACAACCCTATGAAGCAAGTACTATTATCGCTATTTTACATATACATAAATGAAATGACACATAGAAGTAGGTGACACTTATCCAAGATCACACTGCTGATGGTGGCAGAGCCAGGATTCAGATACACGGTGTCTGGTCTCAGAATGTGTCCTCTTAGCCACTGTGACTTACTCTTTTTCCAGGGGGCTTCTGTATAATTGCTCAGAGAAGGGAACAGTGGCAAAGGGAAGAGGCACCAGTATGTAAATGGATCACCAGGTGTAGCCTCTTCTTTATTGATCTTGGTAAAACCACACCAAACCCATCTAGGAGGGGCAAGGTTGTTGGGAGATACAGCAATCCAGGTAGGCAGAGGCGATCATGCACCTTGTCCAAGTGACAAGTGTCTTAGTTTGGGTTCACTCTAAAGCAAAGCCCAAGGGGCGTCTGGGTGGCTCAGTCAGTTAAGTGCCCAACTTCGGCTCAGGTCATGATCTCACGGTTTGTGGGTTTGAGCCCCGCATTGGGCACTGTGCTGACAGCTAGCTTAGAGCCTGGAGGCTGTTTCAGATTCTGTGTCTCCCTCTCTCTCTGACCCTCCCTTGCTCATGCTGTCTCTTGCTCAGAAATAAATAAAACATTAAAAATTTTTTTAAAAATAAAGCAAAGCCTGAGATAAGGCTTTGGGTGCAGATGATTTATTTGGGAGATGACTCCCAGAATGAGTCAGGGATCAGACAGTGTTTAAAGAAAAGGGGACAAGGAAATGTGAATATTGGAGGCATTGTTGATGCTGCCATTGTAGGCAGCGGGAGCTCAGTTCTGCAGGAAGCTGGGCATTCACCCTCCACCTCCTGTTCCCCATTGAGTAAGGGCTGCCCCTGTGGCCATTCACATCTCCAAATTTCTGGGCTGTCCCTGAAGTGGGTGACAGAGGCTTCCTTGGCCCTGGAGAAGCCTCAAGGCCAAAAGCAAAGAGACTCAGGGAGTGTGCTTGAGGTGGGACGTACCCAAGGTGAGTGTGAGTCCCACCACAATGGCGGCTGAAGACAGTGAGCCAAGGGAATATAGGGAGGAATACCCAACATGTCTGTACAGGAGCCACCAGATTTCACTAACAGCCAGCTCTCCATGGAGTATGAGAGCAGGGGGTGGCAAGAATATATGTGGGCCAAATGTCATTTCCATTGTTCTGTGAATCTCTAGGTCTTCTCACTGACTGCAGTTGTTCATTCTTTGAGCAACCCGCTTCCCCAGCCCCAGAGCACAGGAGATGGGACCACAGGCTAGGGCCCAGGCAGCTGCTGTTTACTGAGTGTGCTTACTGAATGGGCTGACAAAGGGGCGAGGGAGGGGGAAAGACCCAGGCTCCATCACCCTACAGCAGCATGTTGACACCACCCCGATGGCATCATAGAGATCGGTGGTGGCCATGATGCAGGGCTCCAGGGCAGAGGCTAATCCCTAGGGGCCTTCTAGACAAGGAGCCTCAACGCCCAGTAAATGCCCAGTAAAGCTTCCCTGCTGGCCTGAGAACTCTGGAGGTCTCATCACCCTGCTCCTCAATCCACTCCTGCCTGCAGGCTCTCTGGGGCTCCACCTGGCTGTCGGCCTGAGGCTGGCCTGGGCTCAGCCAGCCTGTTCTGAGCCTCTTCCCCTCCCCCTCCCTTCCCACCCCGAGGCCCTCTTCCCTTGGGCACATTTCCTTTGAAATCACTTTCTAAGCCCCAGCTACTTTCTGCATAGTCCTGAGAAACTAGTTGACATATTGACCAGCGCAGCACCTGAGAGCCAAGGGGCAGGCTTATGATGTTAGTCTGCAAGGGGGTGGAGTCCAGGCCTGGGAAACAGACACCTCAGGGGGAGGTCACAACTCAGCTTCGTTCTAGCCAGCAAGGTCACATTTCCTCAGTTTCCACACATACTATAGTAATCAGCCTTGGCATCTCCTCCCCACAGGGTTGCTGAGATATCAGATGAAATGTCTGTGAGCGAAATTTTCAAACCAACAGAGTCTTATGTAAATGTAACTTATAATAACCATTGTTTGCTGCCCTGTGCCTGGCATCCCACTGGACCGAATTCCTATGCTCTCTTCCTGGCACACACAGGGGCCTTTGTTATTTGGAACTTGGGAGCCTGTCAAATCCCTGCTTGCCTGCAATCCAAACAGGCCAGTTGTGAGTTGTCTTGGGGTTGTGGTGCCCTGGAAGAGCCACTCAGTTAGGGGCCAGAGCCAGGACCCCCCCTCCAGACCCACCTGCTGGGAGCTCTATGGCCTTGGGCAAGTGCCTTGATTACCTAGAGCCCTGTGTGATTCCTCTGGCAAAGAGGGTTATTGCCCCTGTCTGGCCTATCTGCCTCCCGGGCTCTCAAGAGGGTCAAGATAGGTTACAGGGGTCCAGGCAAGGGTAAGCTAAATGCTCCAGTGCTGTGTAAATGTTGGGGATTGGTACTGGAAAAGAAGGCTTTCTGACTTGGTTCCACAGCACACATCCACCCACCAGGCCTAGCGTGAACTCAGAGGCACAGTCAAGATCCTGAAATGTTTTCCTGATCATCTGAGAAAGCTGGCACAGGAAGAGAAAGACTCAGCTTCTTAACAGCCAGAAGTACAGGTAATTGTCACCATTACAGTGATGGGGTTGCTGTATAAAAGTATTGTGGGTCTGGAGGGAAGGGAGTGGACTTTGAGTCTCAGGAGAGGAAGACAAAAATGGCGAAGATGCCTTTGGAGGGCTGGCAGGAACTAGGCAGAGTAAGGCAGGGTCTGATATGCAGAGCCTGGAATGAGGCAGAGAGAGACGAGCAGAGGCAGCAGGAAGGGCTCCTCCACCTGCATGCTGGCTAAACCCCAATTTTCCTTGGGTGCCAGAGAGGCCCTTCTCCCGACCCCATGGATGAACCATGATTGGTTTAGAATCTTATTCTATACCACTGGGCGGCTTATTAGTGTGACCCAGTGCTGGCCAATAGAATCTGAGGGGTAGTCTACTGGGGGCTTCTGGGAAAGGTTGTCCTCCTTGATAAAAACAAAGAGAGAGGCAGGGAGCCTCTTCCCTCTTTCCCATCAACAAGGCCCCTCCAGAGCCTGTTCTGTCCCACCTGCTAGTACCTGAGCTGGATCACAGCCAGTTCACGTTTCTAACCGGCACCCCCGCCCCCATGGCCCACACCTTCCTGCCCCAGCCGTTGGCCTGAGAGGCCTGCAGCAGCTGTCTCTCCCAGTGAGAAGAAACCCAAGAGCCTCATACAGAATTTCATCCAGAGCCTGGACACGGGCAAGCTGCTGAATCTTGGAATCCCCTCCAGGCTGCTTGACATGGGAGACAAGGCATGTCTTCACAGTCGAAGCCACTTTGTAATCTACTGTTCCACTGACAAGAGAACCAGAGTTAAAACAGCACTAGTAATAGGTGCCATGGAAGGCAACAGTTCGCTAGCACTTTATATGCACCAATGTTACTTGATCATCACAAAACACAAGAGGGTAAGTGATGTTGCCCTCTCTTTTAAATAAATGAGGAAGCTTTGGCCAGGGGGTCATAAATGATCCCCAAGGTCACAGCACTAATTGGTGGTAAGTCTGGCAGCACTGCTGACTCTTGCCCCAGTATTCTTTCCACTCCACCTGGGAGAGACCAAAATTGAAGGTGAACAGAGAGACATTACAGATGCCCCCAGACAGCTAAGATGAAAGGTCGGACAGCAGCCTGCTGCTCACCTCCCCTAAAGCTGATCATCAACTGTCGGTGCACCATGAGGTTGAGGGACTGAGCCCAGAGTGGAACTAGACAGTATAGGAGTGGGGGAGGTGGGCACATGAGCAATTGGCATGCTCCTCCACTCCCAGGAAGCTCACGGATGGAAGGAAGGAAAGACAGCAAAGTGTAAAGCAAGGACTGGCCGTCTTTCTGAAGCCTGAGGCCAACTGGCTTCCGAGCAGGTAGGCATGTGTGGATCCAGCCTGGAAGAGACGAGTCGTGGGGATAGGGCCAGAGAGAGGAGTGTCGGGGGGCAGGGCAGGCTCCGTCTGAGAAGCTTTCCAGAGAAGGTGAGATCTGCACAGAGAAAGAGGCCAAAGAGGGCCCTGGGTGGCTCTGACTTCAACTTAGGTCATGATCTCACAGTTAGTGAGTTCAAGCCCCACATCCAGTGACCTTGAGCCCTGCTTCAGGAGGACACCAGCTCCACTTGGGGTGAGCTCGAGCCCCACTTGGCTGAGCACAAGTCCCGCTTCAATCTCTCTCTCTCAAAAAAAAAAAGAGCCAAAGAAACCCCGGGAAGGCTGTGAAGGGCTACTGTGTGTGCTTCCCGGACACTGGTGTGTGGTGGCTGAGGGCCATTAGCTGGAGGGTACGCCTAGCAGTCTTTCCTTATCATTCAACCTTCAATAAAGAGATCCCAAGGGTATGGGGCACCTGGGTGGCTTAGTCGGTTAAGCGTCCGACTTTCGCTTAGGTCATGATCTCGTGGTTCGTGGGTTTGAGCCCCGTGTCAGGCTCTGTGCTGACTGCCAGCTCAGAGCCTGGAGCCTGTTTCAGAGTCTGTATCTCCCTCTCTCTCTGACCCTCCCCTTCTCATGCTGTCTCTCTCTCTCCTAGAAATAAATAAAAATATTTTAAAAAATTTTTTAAATAAATAAATAAATAAGAGATCCCAAGGGTAAACTCAGACTCTTCACATGACCAAATGTGAAATGTGCTGCAAGAAGTAACATGAATCACAATGTACCAAAATATGGATGTTATTTACTTAAAAAAAAATTAAAACAGGTAACAAAAAGCATTTTGTACACACACACACACACACACACACACACACACACACATACACACACACAGTGCAGATTTCAGTTCCATATCATGAATGGCTGGACAAGGTAGAGACCTAGATTATATAGAGAGGGAAACTGAAAAGAGAGATTACAAGGATAGAAGAAAACACCCTTGTTTCAGAGGGCTTCACCAAGGCATTAGAACTTTTGCTTTTTTCAGTTGTCAGTGTGTTTATAGTTGCCTATGTTAATGGCAGGAGGTGAGCTCCATTTATTCCTTTGTGTTTTCATTAATCAACAAAATTTACGCAGTGTCTAAGTGTATTAGACACTATCCATGCAGCCGGGGTTAGAAATAAAACACAGGGCTCATGCTTCGAGGTGTCTGCAGAGCATAGGTGCACAGCAGAGTGTCAGAGCCAGACGGCACACAGTTATAATGCAGTGGGATGATGGTAAGGAGAGGGGTGAGTATCATGGAAACAGAAAGAACCAGGTCTAGCCAAGCATGGGTGGGGGCATAGAAGCCTCCCTCCTTGGTCTGCATTAGCCCTCCTCCCCCATACATTCCTAGCAAGAACAGACCCAGGACTGAACTAAGGCAGTGTCACAGAAAGAAAAGGATTGGCTAATGGGGAGAGGGTACAGGAAGCACTTGGCTGTGAGGGAGATGACCCCAAGTTGCCCACAGATTTCTAGCTCATGGAACTAGAGAAATGGGGGTGTCATTGACTGAAATAGGGAAGAAGGGAAAAGAACAGGTCTATGGGCAAAAGGGTTTTTTCTTCTCAAACATAAAAATCTGATCATACAAATAAATGACATAACATTTTCCAAAGATTCTGCATAGCTTTTAGGATAATATTTAAACTCTGTTGTTTAGCACATATGGCCCTCCCAATTTTTTCTTCTTCTCTAGGCTTCTTTCTTGTCACTCCCCTAAGTCCTTCCTTAGATACAGCTATATAAAACTCCTAGTTATTCCAAGACACATTCCATGGCTGTTGTATAGTTGTGTACATGTGATTCGCTCTGGCTAGAAAGTACTATGGTATGAACATCTGTTGTTTGTGTTCTCAGTACTCTCTCCTTTGGGTTCCCTCTCCTGACTCATTCCATGTGGTCCTGATGGAGCTGCCAATCACAGCATCCCGCCCCCTGTTCCCCAGGATGGGTAGGGGAGCCAGGCCTGGTCAAGCAGAGTATCCCACCCCTCTGTGATTGGCCCAGGATTGGCACATGATCCAAGCTTGGCCAATCAGAGCCCTCCTCTGGGATTTTTTTTTTTATAAGTGCTGGGGCAGCTAAGGTGATATAAGCCTGGAACTTCCTGTGGCCAACTGACTCCTGAAATATGAAAGAAGCTGAATTTATTAGAAGAGAATGAATTCAACCCAGAAGAACAACAGACCTGATGCAAGGACAGCAGCAAGTCTGAATGCTGTGTGAGTTCTGAGGCCAGCTTCACCCTGTTGTCCCTGGTTTACTTAAATCTGTCTTGTCACTTAAAAGTGAAAGACTCCTATAGCCCAAATCCCAATTTCTGCTACTCACTTCCCACACATCCTTCAAAACTTAGTTCCATCCCAATTCCCCCAGAAAGTCTCCCCTGACGAATTGCTCCTCCCCTCCTGGTTTGATGCATTTCCCTTGGGTTCCCATAACATTCTGAGCATATTTCAGTCATAGCGCTTAGCAATTAGATCCGTTATGCTTGGTTCACATTTCTGCTTACTGTCAAATGATAAACTCCTTGGCCCTCATTGTCTTCACATCATACTTCAGTTACTGGCACAGAGAAGTATTTTAAAAACTTTTGATGAACAAATAACAACTTCAGAGCTTGTCTGTGGAACATTCGGGTGCCCGGGAGTGTTTGTGGATATATTAGTCATGGCTGGGGAGGGGGGTAACATTTCAGTGGAACAGGTATAGGAGGCCAGTGGGCTGTGGTCAGTGAACAGTCAGGAAGGCTCATGGTCTATCTCCAGTGGCTCATCCAAGGGGGGAAGGAGGGTAGTTGGGTGACTGGAGGGGACAAGGAGGGACTTATTTGAAGATTCCAAAGTTCTGAGTGTGTGTATATGTTGAGGGAGTGGGGCTAGGGAAGACGGAGGGGTGAGGATGCAGGCGAACCAGGACATGGAGCAGGGGAGAGGATGGGCATGAGCACAGGTAAAAGGACAAGGAACAAGAAGCCCAGCAGACACTCAGTTTACATTCAGGAGCCCCACAGGCTAGTGAGGTTGTGCCAAACACTTTTCCCAAGACTCCCAGAGCATTCAGCTGCCTTTTTCTCAATTACCCTCCACCTCCCAGCAAGTAGAAGGCCATTGCTGAGCCTGAGTGGCCTATCAAGTCACTGGCCTCCAGCTGGGTCCAGACCTCCCAGGTGCTGGCCAGAGTTCAGAGTAATCCTCACCATTGTTCCCTTTGTCGTTGTTACTGGACCCAGGAGATCAGATTCCTGGGATAATGTTCACTGACTTTGTCCAGAGCCATGCGATCCTGTCAAGGGAGGAGCATGGATGTAAATTATTGAGGAAACCTCAGGTTCTCAACAACTCCCTAGGGAGTCAAATATGCCAACAAACCCAAGAGGACTCTGCCCTTGGGGTGTTCACAGCTGGGATTACGCAGGTGATCACTTCCCGGGTCTGTGGCCTCTGAACCTGCCAGAGATTGAAATTCGAAGTCTGGAGGCTCATTAGGGCCCCATATTAAAAACCCTCTGCAGCCAGGATTTCCCAAATGATCTGGAGGGGGGAGAGTGCAACAGCCCACTGATAGAAACCCAAC